TTCTGTTGAACATGTTTGTGCAAGCTTATAAAATTACTTATCTAAAATATATTAGGGTGTATTTGATTACATTTATTTTCTATAGAAAATATCAGTTTTTCACTCAAATTTCTATTTAGAGTGTTTGACTGCTATTTTTTTTTATGGAAAACATTTTCAAACTTTTAAAAATATGCCTAATTTTCCTTTTTTTAAGAAAAACATTTTCTTTGGGTGGAGGTAGTTTTTATTTTCCACAAAAGAAGGAAAACATTTTTATTTTTAGGTGATATTTTCCATGTCAATCAAACACACTCTTAGGGTGCGTTTGATTACAAGTAGGAAAATTGTATGGAAAGAAAATATTTTCCAGGTAATTCAATTGCCTGGAAATTATTTACATGGAAAATGTTAATTACACGTGTTTGATTGACTTAAATTTCAACCTAGAAATTGTTACAACTTTCCAACTTTAGGTGTTTGATATCCATTTTTTTTCATGGAAATAGTCATTTTTTCCAATTCTATATGTTTGACAACCACTATTTTCCATGGAAATTGTCACTTTTTTCATGGAAAATATTAGATTTTTTCCATGAAAATTTGTCAATGAATGTTCTAAATCTTAAACAAATTATAGACATAAATTCAGCCAACTCTTAATCAATCCTAATTAATATAGCAATTAATTTGTGGATAAAATATTTTCATTTTTAGGTGATATTTTTCATGTCAATCAAACACACTCTTAGGGTGCGTTTGATTACAAGTAGGAAAATTGCATGGAAAGAAAATATCTTCCAGGTAATTCAATTGCCTGGAAATTAATTACATGGAAAATGTTAATTACACGTGTTTGATTGACTTAAATTTCAACTTAGAAATTGTTACAATTTTCCAACTTTAGGTGTTTGATATCCATTTTTTTCCATGGAAATAGTCATTTTTTCCAATTCTATATGTTTGACAACCACTATTTTCCATGGAAATTGTCACTTTTTTCATGGAAAATATTGAATTTTTTCCATGAAAATTTGTCAATGAATGTTCTCAATCTTAAACAAATTATAGACATAAATTCGGCCAAATCCTAATCAATCCTAATTAATATAGCAATTAATTTGTGGATAAAACATTTTCATTTTTAGGTGATATTTTTCATGTCAATCAAACACACTCTTAGGGTGCGTTTGATTACAAGTAGGAAAATTGCATGGAAAGAAAATATCTTCCACGTAATTCAATTGCCTGGAAATTATTTACATGGAAAATGTTAATTACACGTGTTTGATTGACTTAAATTTCAACCTAGAAATTGTTACAATTTTCCAACTTTAGGTGTTTGATATCCATTTTTTTCCATGGAAATAGTCATTTTTTCCAATTTTATATGTTTGACAACCACTATTTTCCATGGAAATTGTCACTTTTTTCATGGAAAATATTGGATTTTTTCCATGAAAATTTGTCAATGACTGTTCTAAATCTTAAACAAATTATAGACATAAATTCGGCCAAATCCTAATCAATCCTAATTAATATAGCAATTAATTTGTGGATAAAAATATGCCAAGATTCGGTACGAAAGATGCATAAACACTGTCGAGATAAAATTATTATCCCTACCAATTCAGATTTCTATCACTTAAATATTCTTCTTTGCAATCAAAAATAATAATCAGATAATCAATTCAATAAATAATGCTGAAATTTCGTCCAATGTATTACATAAAACGAAAATGAAAAAATTCGAAAAATCTGTATCATAAGAAAATAGCAAATAAAATCAACATATATATCATACTTTCACGTATGTTTGTTGAATTATCCAAGCAAGTCATCTTAAAATAGTGGAGGTGGATCACGGCCCAGATTCTCAAATACTAAATCACGCATGAATTCTTCATCAGTCAAACTCATAAATACTCTAGCCAGACTCTCATCCGATCGAAATATTTTCATTACTTGCATTATGTCACTCTTTTCTATACTCATGCCTTGTAATTTTTCTAGAACCAACTGCCAATTGATGTGGTTTAGCGTATCTAATGTTGCTTGAGTCTCCATAGTATTAGCAATTTTTTTAGATGATTCGGCAATGCTTGATAGGGCAACGAGACTCTCATCATTAGGCTGGGTATGTCGATGGCGAACTTTGTTAGTTCCTCCTTCGGCATTACGCTTAGGAGAGTGAATGGGGCTTGGATCCGTATCCTCATTTTGACCATCAACTTCATGCAGATTTTCATCTAAAAAATAATAAAATAAGAATTTGTTAGAATCTCTATATAATACGAATTATATAAATTTTTATGTACGATCTAGTACGTACCATGATCGGGGGATAAAATGTCATTGCCGGTAACAGCACGATCTCCTGTAGCAGAATCATTTCCAAAGATAGCGTCCAAATTATCATAACGGGAACAAAGTTTGGTCTTCAACTTCCAAATTCTGGTTTGCCCTACAAGAAAAAGAGTGAAATATGTTTTACACTAGTCGGTGGTCAAAATAAATTTTATTACTAATATTTAAGGAATAATACTTTCGTTGGTAAATGAAATTTTGTACCTTCAACAACTCCCCCCAAGCTAGTACATCATCTGTGACACTTCTAAACATTGGCTAAATATTACAGAAAGTCCCGGTAGCCAGGTTATAGTCTAAGGCTAGACTGGGTGCAATT